ATTGCCGAATGTTGAGACATGGTTCTTCGCTTAAGAACATCATAGAGAGTCAATTTTTTTTATTAGAAAGAGCAACATCTGAACTACAAATTTTATACCAGCCATATTTTTCCAGAACATATATGAGAAGAAAGAAAAGCCTAAAATCAGATACCTCTAAAAAAAAAGTTCTTGCAACTTTTTTTGAAGCTTGAAAAATGTGTGTTTCTAGATTATTTTAGACTACATTGGCTAAATTTTCATAACAAAATACACCAAAATGTAGCACATAAAAAACTCGATCGAAATCAGCATTGTTAAAATATTTTAGATTCATTCTAAACTCTTTAATCGAAAAGATTTGAAAGCTGGAATTTTCGTAGAAAGGTTCCTTTTCCCAAGAAGTATCAGCCTGAAAGAATATGAGCCACCATCTTGAGAAACCATACATGAAATCGATTTGTTTTGTACTATTTGTTCGGAATATACGAGATTTAAGGAACTTAACAGAAAAAAAAACAGTTCAATAAGTATTTTCTTTCTACCGCTACAACACGGACAGGTAATGGAAACAATCAAATTATTCAGTCTCTTCCAGGAAAAACAATGTCTTTCTATTAAAACCAGGAGCAAATTTAACCTCTAATACACGCTTGTAAAGAGTGCCTTTTATGCTACAAAAGTTATCATTGAAAGTGTTTTTTCATCGTTTTCTGGTATTAAAAAACAATAGTAGAAATGAAAAAAAATGATGTTGCTCTCTGATCAAGTTGCAAGAATTTTTTTTAGAGATGTCCGATTTTGGGCTTTTCTTTCTTCTCATATGTGTTCTGGAAAAACATGGCTGGTATAAAATTTGTAGTTCCGATGTTGCTCTTTGTAATAAATAAAAAGTTGACTCTCTACGATGTTCCTAAGCGAAGAACCTTGTCTCGATATTTCGGCAATTACTTCTGCACCGTAGGTTACATGGAAGTACAAATCGCCCTCACTCTCACCTTCAATCTTATATGTTCATTTTCACCTCATATTGTTGTTTTTGACACTTTTCTTTTCGCCATTTTTCCATCCATTCCTTATTTGAACCATATTATGAGTTTCCTCAAATCGTTAGAACTTTTACTAGAACGGTAGACAGTAGATCCGAAAACATAGATACTCACTTGAAAAGCGAAAAATGAGGCTAAATCAAAATGAGAGACGAGTGTTACTCTTGTTTTGATTTCACATCGACAGGATCTATTAAATGATAGAATCAGTTTTTCAGGGTCCAATAGTGCATCTCCAGAAATTCTCATATATTGGTTTTGTACCTTAGGATTACGTAATACAGTGCAGTATAACCCTGTTTGAATCGCCTGAATTCTTCTTCCGAATCTCTTATTCTTGTTCTAAGGGAATTTCGAGGTATTTTGTGCATGATTGTAGATCTTTTTATTGGAACAGTTTTGCAAGTGAAAATCACTGATTACTGTTTAAAATTCTACTGTAGTTGCAGATTGAATACAAAGCTTAACACTCTGTGACTTCATGGCATTCATGACTAGTTTGACAGATATTTTCCGTGCCAAAAGGAAAATAACGATATTATTCCAGACTATGGAATCAGTGATAATTGAAAACAAATAAATATTGATCGATAGACGAGTGCAATGAGGAAATAGTGATCTAAGCATCTGTCAAGCATGATAGTGAAAAACTGAGCGGAAGATTGCGTATGTCATATACAAAGATCCTAAACACATAAACAAATGTTGCGGAATTATTTTCACAGTTGTTCGTTGTAAATTGAGACTCAGGTTTGCAACACCGGTTACGTTTCACCTCTATCGCTTCTCATTTGGATTTAGCCTCATTTTTTCGCTTTTTAAGTGAGTATCTATGTTTTCGGACCTACTCTCTCCTGTTCTAGTAGAAGTTCTAACGATTTGAGGAAACGCATAATATGGTTCAAATAAGTCATTTCCTCATTATCAGACAGTTCTAGGTGTCTCCTTCCCAATGGTGAAAACCTGAACTCGATAGCTGTTACTATTCAAGAATTATGATCAAAACAGTAATGACCCTATATTTCATATATCCATGAGGTGCACTCATTATCTTGACCGTGTTAGATGCCAATAGAAGACCACTCGAAAGTAATTTATCCGACCCAGTCTCGTGTGCTGAACACGAATCTGAAGTCAGTTTTGCAATTTTGAAAGAAATTGTATGACTTTTATACGACTTCTAGGGATAGGACTAATGGTCACTATGGGAGTAGGTCACAGTTTGGTCCATGCTAACTTGAACCCCCTCCCCGAATTTTTTTTATTAGACGATTTAATGTCAAAGGATACGTCTTGGCAAGATCTATATTTGGTAAAAAAAGAATTGTAGGCTCTCTTGTACCACACAAGAAAAGTCCAAAATACTGCCATCCTGGAAGAATGCATTTTTCGGATTTTCGACAGTTGTTGATCCATTACGTTTTATTCACCCTATATGCTAGTTACTTGAATAGGATGAATTTGTAGGCTACACCTCTCTCTATGAAATGAGACGTCTCCAAGTTCAAACCATCAAGCTGTTCATGAGTTCATATCAAAATATTGAATACACGCTGAGAATAGCAATTTTCAGGAGTTAAAATAGACCTTTTATACTTGTTTCAGCTCGTATTTTTCACAAGTAAAGCGAACTGACTTAGTATTTTGGATTTGACTATGATTTGACTAGATCTTTCATTTGAGAAAACTATAAATCGAAAAAAACATTTTCCTCAGCCGGCCTAGGGCGGCTCTGTGGCAGACTCTCTCTTAAGTGCTCTAAATAATCTCGTTCGCTATACAAATGTGATATTGAAAACAAATATGTTATTGAAGAGAAAAATACTGAAATTTTCTTCTAGTGATGTCTTTAAAGAACATTATGAAATTATGCTGAGATAGAGCCTTGAAACATTGCACGGTTAGATTTGTAGGCATACAAGTATGGTTTGTTGTTTTGAGACATCAGAAAAATTTTTCGAAGTTCGAGCATTTTTAAATTAATATTAAATAAGAAAAAGGCAATTTTTTATCTATAGGAACCACAAATTTCGAATCAGACACTGTTAGATGAGTTCTGTTCGTAGAAATTCAGTTTTACAATAACTGAATTAACTTCAAAGATTAAAACAAATTAGTAAAGATGGTCATCTGTTTTAACTGTTTAGGTAATCTTACGTCACCATTTGAGGGAAATGAAAATAGTGAATCAAAAATAGTTAGCATGCAAACATACTTAGGGCTGACCATAAATTTTGATCACGGTGTGAAGGGAGGGGGAGAGGAGAATCACCGTGGTCAGAACTCTTGGTCAACCATTTTGCATGAAGTCTTAGCTTCAGAAAAAACCTATCATAAACGTAGTGATAGGAACGAAAATTATGTGATGTCACATCATCAACATAAAATCTAAAAGCGATCACGGCTTGAGAAATGTTCTAGAACGAAGTATGTTCTCTTATGTGTGACGAATTGTGACAGTGACTACCTATGCCTTTCGACACGATGATATCTTGTGCCATTTTCACACCTATACCTGTCTCTTTTCTTTTATTACATACACATTACATAGGAGAAGAGCCAGTCACACATAAAAGAATACTTATGCCAAAAACAAATCAATTCGCATGAGTACACATTAATACGAAACTTAAAAGTCTGTTGAGCACTTTCTTTTATGAATGCAATTACAGTTTTATACATAACAATAAAATGACGTGTTAAAAAAGATTTAAGTAAAAGTCATTGTACCAAATAATCGCAAACATCACATCGACTATACCTCTCACAATAAATCATCACACGAAGTATTGAGTCGGTATCTGTTTTGAATAGAGCAGATCTACGTGCAGAATAAGAGGAACAATGAAGTAGATAATATTTAATAGTCTTGCCCTCACATACAATTTTTACTGTTAACCAAATTTTTTTTTTATCATACTTCTAAATGTCACATGCGGGTATGTTTACATGTTGAAGATAGTGATAAATAGATATTTATCTAAGCTGAAATCGATGCAAAGTATTGCATTTTATATCACTAACATTATTATAACATGAATTGACTCAAACTTGTAAGAGTATTAAAGAAATAAATAACAAGAATAGAATGCGAAGAGCCATGAGCGAAAAAAAAAGATACTGGTTAGGAGAAACAAAAACAAACCGATAATTCAGCAAGAAAATAGGGACATTGTATTTGTGTTTTCTATTCACTTATAAACTCGTCTCAATGAAAAATATTCACTTTTAAAGACACGTTCATGTCAATTTGTCGATTATTACACACAACGCACGAAAAAAACACAGCCGAGGTGATCATTTTTTCTTTTATAATAGTTATTGCAATCGAAGACATCATCATATTTTTGTTTTTCTTTGGATACTTTTCTAACATAGAATACAAGAAGGTATTTTAGAAGTAATAATGTAAAGATTATGCACAGAGACGAAAGGATATCTATACACAACCATTTCTTCTATTAATTATTTTCTGAGAATTCAGACGCGTCAACAAACATTAGCGGTGTGACCACTATTTCAAATCTCCATTGAATAGTCAAAAACAAGCAAAATAATTTTGTTCTGTTTAACACTAGATAATTTTTACTGAAACCATTGTTTATGATGTCGAATATGGTTGGTGATACGAATATCAATGACCTTGATCATGATGAATTTATATCTATAAAAAGGTCATCATATATTATTAAAAATGTTATATTTATTGGAATATGTTTTATTCTTTTATTAATAATGATCATAGTGATATCTATTATGCGAAATCTTACAATACTATTATTATTATTAATTATAATAAGCATAATAGCAATAGTTCTTGTTATCGGTATACATTCTGTAAAATTTTGGATTACATTGAAGAATAATAGTGGCAAATCATTACAATTGAAGAGGACGAACATTTTGACAAGTATAGTCAATATAACAAGTATTAGTTTAACAATATTTACAGTTTTATTCTCTGCATCTGTCATGTCACCATTAAATTTTGGTTATGGTTCGTTTGCAACATTTCTTTTATTTGCTATCTGTATATCAACGATTGTTTGGATTTTAACTCTTATAATTTATGTATTAATTACTATTATTAGTTTTATATGGAAAAAATCTTCTTTTATTCGTCAACAATTATCTTCTGGTATAGTTTCATTTTTTATTGGAAGTTTTCTAACATATCCATTATTAATGTTAATAATCGTAATGATATCAAATTTTTCATTTGTTAGTTTTGGACTAGGAATTGCACTTTCATTAAGTCATACAATATTCATTGGTGGTATTACAACAACAATTCTTTATCGTTCAAAATTATTAAAAGTTATTTCTTGTTTATTATCTGCTATTGGATGTATAGGAGTCATTTTAATCCTATGGTTTTATTTAATAGATGGTTATAATATGAAAATAGAAGTTATGATATCATCAGAAAGATTTCCAAATAATATAACAAATGATCCATCATTAAATGGAAATTATTCTTATTCATTTCTTACATATGGAAGTGGTTTTGATGAACGAATTGATTATGGAATAAAAGCATTAATAAAAACACCAACAATTGATTTGTCTTCAATAATTAAAATATCATCATTTAATAAAAAAGCATTTAAATATAATGAATCTGCTCTTCCTCTTAACGGTAGAATATGGTATCCAACAAATAATACTGGTCCATATTCTGTAGTTCTAATGGTACATGGCAATCATATGTCTACAGATTCAAGTGAAATTGGCTATGAATATTTAGGTACAATGCTTGCTAGTCAAGGCTTTATTGCTGTATCGATTGATGAAAATTTTTTAAATCTTGCTCCATCTCTTTCTTCAACAGAATATGGTAGAATGTCGAAAATAAAACAATATGATGTTGGTGGTAGTAGCAAACCGGAATTCATTGCTAGAGCAATTATTATATTAGAAACATTGAAACAATTACGATTATGGAATAAACAAAAAACAAATCAATTTTATAATAAATTAGATTTATCCAATATTGGTTTAATGGGTCATTCACGTGGTGGTGAAGCAATAGTGATTGCATATGTATTAAATAAATTAAAAGTGTTACCTGATTATCCAACAAATATTTCATTCAATGATTATAATTTTGGAATAAAAGCATTATTTTCCGTTAGTGGTACAGATTATGGTTATATACCATTAGGACATAGTCTTGCATTTCATGATGTAACTATGTTTGGTATTCATGGTATATATGATGGAGATGTACAATCATTTTTATTTCAAGGTAAATTAACAAATTTAAGATTTACATCCAATAGTAGTAATTATAATTTTAAAGCATCATTATATGTATATCAAGCGAATCATGGACAATTTAATACAAATTGGGGACGATATGATGTAATTCCTGGTTTAAATCAGTTTATAAATGTTCGTCCAATTATGAAAACTGAACAACAGCAACATATATGTAAAATATATATGGCTGCTTTAATGAATGTTGTTCTTAAGAATCAAACACAATATCGCATATTATTTGAAGATTATCGTTCTGGATTGTCTTATTTACCATATACGAATTATATATCTACATTTCAAGATTCCAATGAAACAGTCATTGCTGATTTTGAAAATTATGATATTACAGTAGGAACAATGATTGGTTCGTCAATGAATGCTACTAATTTAATATTATGGGGTTCTGTTTATGTACAAGTTTATCATTCAGCAATGTTAATCTTACAACCAATTGAAAACTTAGTTGGTAAATATACAATTAATTTGCAAAATGCAATCAATGGATCTGATGTAAGGTTTATGATTGGTCGTACACCTGAAGGACTAATAAATAATTTAACAGTACTCCTTTGGTATGAAAATGGAACATATGATTCATTTGTAGTACATGTACTTCCAGCTCTTAGCAAACAAATATTTAAGATAAGTTCATTAGAATATGTAACTGCTGTACAAACAATTTCACTTCCATTATTACATCCTATTATTGGTTTAGAATTTGTAGTCAATGGAACGAATGCCCAATTTTTAATAGATAATATAGTTATTGTAAACTGAACTTGTTTGTTTGTGTATGTAAACAATCCATCAGAATAAAATATTAAAACTAATCATTCATCTAGAATTGTTCTGCTAATGAATTATCTTATGTTAAAAAATTTGATCAACACAAGTTTTGTGAAATAATGATGATTAGCGGATAAAATTAATTTATGTTGAGTTGTATTTGGATTTGCAGTCTGCTCTACAACTTCACTGGTATTATTAGATTCAGAGTTCTTACGCACAACAAACTTAAGTCGAGTTCCATAAAATTTCGCTATTTTTCGAAAATTAGTCTTCATGGTCGTGAAAATTTTTATAATTTTCTACAAATAGTCTGTGGATTTTATTTCCTCGGCATCGAAAATCTTTGATTAGGTTGTATCGAAAAATACACAAGCTTCCTATCAGCAGCACAGCGGAACAGTATTGAAACGGCTTATTCTCACTAAGCTTTTTTTTTTGTTTTTAACATGCCCGATCGAATCTATCTTTTTCTATTTTTGTTGTTTTTATACGTTTTAATCATTTGTCAAAAATTGACTCTTTTCTTAATTACTTGTTAAATGTTTCAAAATATAAAACGTGATTAAAAAATCTAACTTGATGAGTCTTCTTTACGTCTTATAAAGTGAATTTTAGATTTAGTATAACAGTTACTGATAAGTTTTTTCATAAAAAAACAAGTCAGTTAATTGAACTGACCGGTCCTCGCCGATTAGAAAAAATGAAATGAGTTTCAGCCCTGAATGCAATAAGAATAATTGAAAAGTAAACGGACGAGTAAGCTGGTAGCAAACAGGCTTTTTTACATAATAATACTTGATTTTTATTACGTTTGTTGTTTTTGATTAATAATGATGGCATAATGGAAAGTTCCAACATTCACAATTAGTTCACACGAATTGACATAGAAAAAGAGCTTTGAGCTTGTTTAAGTAGTCAAGATCATCTCTTCTTGTCCTTATTCAATTTTTCTCTATAACTATATCATTTCTTTGGAGTACCATTTATCTATCATTCATGATTTCTTGTTTATTCAACGATATTTTGAGTTCATTCAATATGATTTTGATAGTCGATCATTAGAGCCTACTTACTATCTAGTTGACAGAACAATTAATTATTAGCTAAGAGAGTCAAGACTGATTGATAGATATTTCAATCAACGAACTTATTTGACAGGCACTTTTTCCCATGTGACTTATTCGAAATGTAAATAATACTCTACCAGCAGGGTGTGGGTGTGGGGTGTGGGTGTGGGTGTGGGTGTGGGTGGGTGGGTGGGGGGGGGTGTGGGTGTGAGTCTTTTTTTCATCCATTCACACCCATCCACACCCCACACCCACACCCACACCCACACCCACATCCACATCCACACCCACACCCACCCACACCCACACCCACACTCATACACCCACACCCACCCACACCCTTTCTTGGTGTAATTCAAGTGAGATGACTTGGCTAAGAGAAAGTTTTTCTGGAAGAGTTTCAACATAAGCATCGACCACAAGTCGTCGTAAACGAAAATGGTGGTTTCTATTAAATAACACTTCATCTGCTGCGATAGTTATATGCACAAGACTGTAAAATAACTCGATCGGATTAAAATATTCAAATATCTGTTGCCAAATATCTGGATATAGTTGTTCAACTGTCGTTCTCATTACCATGGATTGCTGTATGAACAAAACATATTATTCAATATAAGTGATCAGTGGGCTACCTATAATGTTAAATAATCTAATGTAAATCGTGTTTTTTGAATCATTAATATTTCATCTGTTGTTTGAACGTTTCACGAAACAATATTACTAATTACTAAATATTCAAATACATAGAAAATTGTTCATTGAAATAAGTATTCATCAAGTAACCATTTCTCTATGATCGAATATTTTTCTCTGCCTTTATGTTCGTATCGTGTCTAGATTCCATGGTATATATTTCTCATTTATTTAATAAATAAACTAATATCTAATTAAATAATGGGTGATGCAAGAGTGCTGCATCAATTTGCTTTTCATTCCTATGTCGTGCGCAAGTATTCTGGACTCTTGCATATTTTTTGGTTCTAAAGAGCAAAGTGCATACTACAAAATTGTGCAAAAATATTTGTTGTCAAACAGTTATCGAAGATTATAAATCTTTAAGCACAAAATGTAGTGAAAAAGTATTTTGTAATTTCTTGAATTTGAAAGAAAAAATTCGTCCACACAGAAAGTTGATCTTGTTTTCTGACTATAAACGGGTTTTATAGAAATGCGATCGAGCATTAAAACAAGATAAAATGAAATTGTGATATGACTAGTTGTCTTCGAAATCAACATCTTTCTAATATTGTATGCGGATGAAAAGATTTTACTGTTAATGAATGATTTCGAAAAATAAGGTTTCTTTCCATATTGAAGATAGCAGTTACCACCTTTTTCATACCCAATTCAAGCTTATGAAGTCCTCTACAAAATCACATTATATGAAATAGAACACAGAATGTTTGTTAGACGTTATGAAAAAGAAAAGTTTCAATGAACGTTGCTAAGGAAAGGTCAATTTGTATGTAAAATTGTTGCCTCTGAAGTCAACGATCTTGTAACTAGAATATTTTGATGTAGTTAGAAAGTACGCATCCCTTTGATTAGTTTCCTATATAATGCATCTCAAACTATCAAAAGTCAAATGCCAAAAAAAAATCAAAATAGTGCACTTTTATCCTCAATTTTTTTGTTGTTGAAAGCTACTTTTCTATTACAACTTGTTCTTAAAGCCTTATGATTATTGGTAATCATTTAGAAATAATCATTTAGAAACAAATATTTGTGCACAACTTTATAATAGATACCTTGCTCTTTCTAACAAAAATACTCCAAAAGTCAAGGATATTCGTATACCGTACAGAGATGAAAAGCAAAGGAATGTAGTACCTTTGCATCATTTATCAAATATAAGACATATAATTACATAGATATTGTAATTTGTTTTTATATGACTTTACCATTTTGCATTGTACTCCATTAATCGATCAGTTACTACTGTAATTGTTAATTCATCTTAGAAAGTACATTTGATGATGGAACTCAATCCATACTAATACTTACTCTTTGTTTTCTCCTGCCGATACTGCTCATATAAAATAGATATCGATGCAAGTATTCGTATATGCTTCAAGACAGAAACCAAGAATTATTTGGTTGACTCATTCAAAATGTTTATTAATTATTTTTGAATGTGATAAACGAATATTAGCTGAAAGCATTAGATTTCCATGAACACATAATGTTCCATTTATTATATCTCTTCATCCGTTACTTTCTTGAAAAATACGTAGATCATGCCAAAAGTAGTGACGTCAGTATCTTAGTTTTTAGTAGAAAGCTGGAATAGATGTTCTTTTTTATGTGATGATAGAGAAAATAACGCTCTATTTTTCTATTCCATTTGCCCACTCCTCAACTAATATCATAATAATAAATTTTCTATAAAAACTATTTTTTGTACAACTCCACTAATATGTGAGACCGATTAAATAGGGTACACTTTGTGTTCCTGTTTTCAATCATTTGATAGATTGTATCAAAAAAGTCAAGGGTATGGGCGTCGGTTTATGCTTCTTCTTGTTTCTCCACATCCATAACTATAATTAAACTCACATCCACACACCACTCTATTTTTTAGAAAATATTTAAAACAGCACTAAATTATCTAATTCATATCGAATCTGAATTGATGTTCCCGATTATGAACAAGCAATGTCCAGAAAATGTAGATGTGAAAACGACCAAGAATCTGCAACAATTAAACATCCGAAATTTAAGTTAGATTTAAAAATGATCGTTTTCAGGCTGCATATTTGCCACCGCTACTGATTCACAATCGGGAAACATGACTAGCATCCAAACAAGTTCAAAATGTGTTTTGCATTTGCAAGCGTTTTTTTTTTCTGTTTGAATCGTTGCAATGCCTGAAGACATGCACTGAACAACTTAATTAAGAAGACACCGATTTGATTAAATACCTGAACGGATTCTCAATGTTTCTAATAGAGAATACAAAAGTCAAACATTGAAATGGTTTTATTACAAGAAAAAATTTGTGTATCTTTTCTTCAAATGGTCATTCTTCCCATGTAAAAAGTTAATTGCAAAAATCGGTTAAAATCATATGATTTTTAATCAATAATTCAGCAGTAATAATCATGTCAAAATCAGATTTTAATCTACTATTATGATTATAATTAATTTAGAATATTTTCAAAACTCGATTATGATCATAATAATCGAAATAGTCGATTAAAATCTGATTTCGCCATGACTATTACTGCTGAATTATTGATTACAAATCGTATGATTGTAATCGAGTTTTAATCACTTTTGACCTCTCTAAAGCTGATTTTTTTTCACATTTCTTTTTACATGGGTTGAGCACTATCATAAAAACTACAAGAAGTCATTCTTTTCGCTCTTATGTTTTTCGTGATTTTTAATTTATTCTTTCGCTACTTTGGCCTTTAGTTCTATTTCTATTGCCAAATAATTTCGCTAAATTCCTTTTCGTACTATTGCCATTTCTTTGATATTTTACATTCGGTACCGCTTTCACTAGAAAGTCTTTGCAATATTGATGGAGTTGCGCTGAATGCAAACGATACCGTTGTGCTCCATACCAAAAGTTAACAAGAAAACTTTCAGAATTTTTTAACTTATTGATGCAGAAATATTAATTTTCAAAGCATTCACTTTCATACAGATTCAGCTTACACAAGCGAATTCCATTTTGAAAAATGATATCTCTGTATCAATACGTTCAAAAACTCTGAAAATTGAAATCTTGACTTCTGATACGGAGAACAACGTATGTTTTAAGTTTTAATTCGAAAATCTTGAACTTTGATAGAAAACCTACTAATAATATAATATCTCACCCTTGGTATAACGCTAGTATTTGGGTGCTCCAGAGAACATAGGTATCACAATGCATGAGGTAGGGCAGCAACGACAACTTCTGCCATCTAGCGTGAGTTTTATGAAAATGTGACGAAACAAGTATAAAAAGTTGCAATACCGTTTTTTTAATGAAGTTACAAATTCTACGTAGCCTATCTCGATCATGAGCTGACAGCTAGTGGAATCCCATTGGCGCAAGTGCATAAAGAACAAACTCGCAATGTCCGTTAGTTAGATAGATAGAACTAGAACATAATGACAGCCAGTGTTTTTAATATGAACTATGTCCAGCAAAAACAAAGTACCCGAGGTACTTACAATTTTGAAAAAGTACTGTGTTTTGTACTAGGCTAGAAAAAACACAGTACATCGATGGTACTTTGCAAATTAAAAACAGTACTTTACTTATTTATTACGCCATTATATAAAGTTTTCTCGTTTTCTTCTTTGTTATATATTCTAATTGTAGATAGAACTGAACAGTATTTTTTTCTTCTAGTCCTATCAAATTCATAAGTGAAACTTCTTGTTTTCTTTTCAGATTTTGGAGTTTCTTTTTTTATAGATATTTTTGCTTCATTCTTGGATCGTACACTATTGATTATTTAGTATTTATTCAATTTATATTTATTATTTGGCGCTTATTCAATCTAAATTATTATTTAGTCTCTATTTGATATATACAGGTTGCCCCAAAAAGCCACGCGAGAAAGTAAATTCTTATAACTTTTTTATTTGTCAAAACAAATCAATTGTCTTTTTTTCGTATGATAGGCATCACCTAGAAGTTTTTATTCATACGAACCAACTTTACCAAAAACGTGAAAAGATATCACTTTTGACTGAACTACAGAAAATAAGTTTTTTCAATTTTCACTGAAAAAAGTGTGAATCGATGGTTTTTAGATCATTTCAATTTTTTGATATATTTTACGCTTTCAACTGTTTAGAGTAGTTTTATTAACATGTTTTTTGTGATATATTATCGTGCTTCTATATTGGATTTGTTTTTATGAGAATATTTAAAAAATAACTATAAAAGGAGCCTAAACAATTGAAAACGTAGACTATCACAAAAATTGAAATGATCGGAAAAAACCATCGATTCACACTTTTTTCATTGAAATTTGAAAAATTTATTTTCTGTATTTTAGTCAAAAGTGATATCTTTTCACGTTTTTTCTAAAGTTGGTCCTAATGAATAGAAACTTCTAAGTGATGCGTATCACACGAAGAAAAGACAATTGATTTGTTTTGACAAATAAAGAAGTTATAAGAATTTACTTTCTCGCGTGACTTTTGGGACGACCTGTACATATAATAGTAAAAGATAAATCAGAGAGATCTTTCCTAAAGTTGATCAGATGAATGTGTTTTCATTTTTGTTATTATATATTACTTTGTTTCAGATTTCTATTAAAAACGCTGATGGCAGCTTAGTAGATCACTAACGAAAAAAAAATATCAGTAGTCTATTTTTTTTTCTATTTCTAGATTTTGTTACACATTAAAAAAATCACCTAATTTTGAAATATCAATTTTTCAAAAATGGATGATAATGAACAACAACAGCAACACGGTGATTCAAGCGAGGCGCCGATATGAACAAGCTTTGTGTCACTTTATTATTTTGTAAAGCCAAAGAAATGCGTAGAATAGTCTGCTATTGGTCAGATCGTGTTTCTTAGGTTTTAGTTTAAGAGTCTCTCCAATCGTTACTCCTCTCCTTTATAGATTCGTCGATTTCTACAGTGGTATACTATGTTAAGAAACTTTTTCTCTTCTAACATTTGGTCACAACAAAAATTCATCCTCACCCCAATTGTTAACAAAATGTTTTCTCCTTGCAGTCTATGGTCCATCTCGCATTTCAAACTTTTCGGTCTACTATTGAACAACTTAGATTTGAAGTAAATGATATTCGTCAACGCCATAATAATGCCCAAATCCAGATTACTGAACTAAAAAAAGAAAATCTTTTTTTAAAAGAAGAAATTAGTTTTTCAAAAACAAAAATACATGATCTTGAACTGGAAAATGATAATTTTAAGAAGGTAAAAATTTCGGCTTCTTTAGCAAATTTACTCTTTAAAATACTGATTTTAGATCATTTCTAATCTAACAATGATGATCCACAAACACAAGATATTATCAATGGACTCACAAATAACTTTAAATGATAAATATACCATGCCACAATTACACACTAAGATAAAATGTGTCGCATGTGTCGTGCTTTGCGACACATTAATATGCGACACGAGGAGCTCGTTACGACACATTTCTTCCAGTGGACGTACGACACATTCTTGTGCGACACATGCGACACATTTTTAACATGTGGTTCGAATCCATTTTTCGGCACGAGGGTTGTTTTTTTTTTGAAAATTCGAATAGTTACTATTTTTTCAGTTGATTTCCAATAGTAGCACCTATTCTTTGAGTTCAAGACGGTAGATCTTAAGATCTAGCTGTCTCGAGACCATTTGATCTTGATCAGACTACTTCGAGGCAGTCCATTCTCGATCATCTAGCGACCTCTCGACATGTTCTCGAATAATAAATGGTCGAGAAATAATCTAGAAAAAAAAGACATACGAAAACGTATAAGCCAAGTACGTCCAATAGGCTCGGTTATATGCAGCTGCACTCGCGAAACAAATCGGTGAATGAACGATTGACATATAGACTATGACACATCTATAATGCGACATATTTTTGTACGACACATTTTTATAATGGAGTCTGCGACGCATTCTTGTACGACACATATATACGACGTATTTTATTTTAGTGTGTAGGTAAAATATGATATAATGGTTTTTAATATGATTTTGTTTCTTATTGTTTAATATCAGGCCTTGATACATGCCGAAATGAACCGCAAAAGGTACAAAATATTGTTAAAGAAGCTATTTTAAATTGTGATTATCGCTTAATTGATACAGCATGGATTTATCAAAATGAACATGAAGTTGGTAATGGTATACATGAAGCAATTGAACAAAGTCAAGGACAAACAAAACGTGAAGATTTATTTATAACAACTAAATTATGGAATCAAGTAGAAAGAAAAAGTTTTTTTTTATTTTCTAATGAATTATGTTTTTTTATTGACCATTATTTTAGCATCATACTCCAGAAGAAGTTGAATGGGCATTACGTGATAGTTTAAAAAAACTTCGTTTAGATTATGTTGATCTTTATCTTATACATTGACCCGTTGCATTTAAAAATATGCCTGAAAATATTTGGTCACAAAATGAAGATGAAAAAACACGTTATTTTGCTGAAAATGTAACACTTCGTGATACGTGGAAAGCTATAGAAAATTTAGTTGATCTAAAATTAACACGTTCAATTGGTATATCAAATTTTAATGAATCAGAAATTAAAGAAATACTTAAAATAGCTCGTATAAAACCAACTGTACATCAAATTGAATTACATCCATATTGTAATCAACATAATATGCATCAATATTGTATTAAACATAATATTTCTATAATTAGTTATTGTCCATTATCAAATTTAAAACGAGAAAATGAACATGATGAAGATGTATCAGCATTATATAATCCTATTATACAAGAAATAGCAAAATCAAAACATAAAACAACAGCACAAATTATTCTACGTTGGCATCTTCAAAACGGTCTTATTGTTATACCAGAAACTACAACATCAGAAAAATTAATTGAATATTCCGATCTATTCGATTTTGCATTATGTGATCATGAAATGTGTCAAATTGATCAATTGGGTGATACAAATCGTCGACGTATAGCTAGTCCACTATTTCGTCCACCTAATAATAAACCAATATTGATGGTTGAATATGAAAATTATTATCATATGTAAAGAACTATTCCTTCTTAGTTTAGTATTTGTTATCTTTTCGAATTAGTTAAAAAAAAGAATGAATAAGAATGTTTTTAATAAAGATTAAAGTAAAATTATAACAAGATAATTGAAGAATACCAGAATACACATTTTAATACTATTATTCAAATACGATTTCGAGTCTGCTTGATTGTTGAATTTTGATGCATGAAAACTTTGTTTCTTATCATTTTAAATAATTCTTCAAATAGAGAATGGTCTTCGTTGTAATGAAATAAGATCGAAATTTTTCAATCACAATGTAAAATTCTAGTGTTTTTTCAGAATCTATATTATAATGTACAAGTGTTTTTCAGTTCTTCGAGAACTTTCATATAATTGGTCACAGAACGAAAAAAGAATTTATATATATATATTTATATGTATGTCGTGTATGTTCATTCATTATGTAAATATATATGTCAGTCATATTATATTTTGTTTTATTTTTCTACACACGCAGCAGCAACATATTTACAGAGCTTTTTTTGTATTATTAAATTTTCTGAGAGTAAAAATAATAAATAATCGTAGCAAAGCTGAATATTGCAAGAACTCTTTTATTATTAACTGATTGAAAAGAAATTAGGTACGTGAGTGATTTGATAATTAATTATTGATTAATTATTTATATATTTATAAAAACTAAAAATTTACATATTTACAAAATAATCTATATTATTTTTTACAAGCGTTCTCCTTCAGGAACTTTCATATGATTAGTCACATAACGAAAAAAAGGTATACATATATATGCATGTCAGTCATATTTTATTTTATTTTGTTTTCTTTTTCTACGCGCTCTACAAAAACACATTATAGAACTTGAAATTATTTTATTACTAATTGACACCCAACTGTTTAGTTCTTACACTATATAGATTAAGAGAAACAGAAGATAGAATTAATATCTGAGAAAAGGAGAAAAAAGAAGAAACTACACTTAATTTAAATAACAGCAAGTATTACATATAGTGAAGGTTTTGTAATAAAATCGATTAACTCTAAATCATCACTTTTCAAAATTTTTTTACAAAATGTCAGAGAAACAGCAAAAACGAAAAGAATACATGAAAACATACAGTGAAAGAAATTGTAGAAAGGTTGTTGTGTTAGGTGATGATTTCCGATAAATTCTGCGCGTTATCAGAAAAGGGTCCCGATGCGACCTTATTGCTCCAACAATAAAAGTCTTCTGTTTGATTCTTTTTCATACATTCAAATTACAGTGCAATATGCAAGCTATCACAGATCCTGATTTTTCTAAATGGATTTGAGATATCGGTGGTGGTGTAATATCTTTACCACCAACACCTAAAGCCCAAATTT